ACAGATGTGGAAAACAGAAACATCTAAAATCTGACTCCATTTTATTCCTTTTTACTTTAGTTATTAGAACAATTTGACCTTATTGATACTTATTTCCACAATAGAACTATTTTGATTATTCACTAGTCTAACTATTATTACTATTGTTTATTCTGACACCTCTTCTTAGCGACCTTTCAACCTATAGCTCCTCGAATCCAATGACATTATAGCTCCAGACTATTTCATTCTATTCTATTATTGTATGATCTATTATCTTAAAGAGTAGATCTGTTTGATGTTATAAGCGCTATTATTTCTCCTTTTGAATTTGCACAACACTAAATTTAGAATGACCCCCTATGGGACAAATATAGAATTTTATTTCATTTTGACAACTCCGGAAATTACTTAATAATTTTCCCATTTTGCTTTTTTAGGCTGCCCTTTCTATTATTTATTTGTTCTTGTAAATATATGTTTTACACTTCTTTCTAATGATTTAGAAGGTTAAGGACCATGACCACCTATGACAATAACATACTCCCCTCTGTTGGTCATGGGCCAAAGTATAAAACATGCATCTGTGTGTGTGTAGATTTACTGTTCCCATCATTCTCCAGTTGTTCCTCCCGGATCGTCCTCAATTCATATTGTGGGCTTTGGTGCCAAAGTAGAGGCTCATTTCCTTATGATCCATACTACTGTCATCCCTGAAGCAGGTGCAGTTTATCTTTCATCTGAAAAACAAACATTAGAACACAAGAAACGCCCACTTCCCTCTCTTCGCATTGTGCAGCCTGTCAATCAATCCAATTGGGCAAAACATAACTACATTGACAGACGGTCGTGTGACATCAGGGCAGAGGCTGTAGCCAAATACAGACTTAACAAAATGTATGTTTCTAATTTTATACTCCCCTAAATGTGAATTACAAACCAAAGTTGTCCTTCAACCAACGACAGCTCACTGCGGTTGGACCGAATCACTGTCAGGGCAAACAGCAGAGGGGGGGCTCCCAGTACCTTCAGCAAGGTATTCATCTCAGAGTACTTTCTCAGAGTACTTTTCCCAGAGTACTCATCCCAGAGTACTCATCCCAGAGTACTCTCACTTTTACACCTGTTCAATAAAGCTTGTTATCTTTGAATCTCTAGTACTTACACCGTATGCTGTTGACAAAAAAATAATTATTTCATGATCACATTAAAACATTACAGAAAACTTTTGTTATTCCATGATCCGTTCAGCACTCCTCATTTCACATCACACTCGCATCACTCACACAGGCCGACTCCCCACGTTAGTATTTTGGTCCAGAGTTTGTTAAGGTCAACGTAGTGTACTTGACATGACGCACAAACATATAATATACACAAACATATAACACACACAAACATATAGCACACACAAACATATAACACAGAAGGCCTGTAATTTTAACTTTGTTATATTTTTCCATGTCCAATTACAATTGTCTCATGAGCTATTTCTATTGTTGCAACTTTCAGAGCCTGCAGAACATGCAGAGCTTTAATAGATTTTTCCTACAAGGATCCATTTCAAACTTTTAGTGTTTAAACCACGTGGTCTTTACTCGGGCTTGTCACAGACTGTGTCCCCTATATTTTTAATGAGCTCTTGTTACTTAAAAAAAACTCATGCACGTGCAATAAATGTTTTTCCCTTTTTTTTTTTTTTTAAAGCCAGTTCGGATTCCTTAAAAATGTAAATTAGTTTCAAACTTTAATACTTCACCTTTGTTTCACGTTCATGTGGAGAAAAGACCATTGTTTTATGTGTGTGTACTTGCACCAATCATGTCTCAGATGAACGGCCAACAGTTGTATCAAAGACATAATTGTCCTAATTGCTTCTAATTTAGCTATTTGGAAGAGAAACATGTCATAAAAGATTTCAAAAAATGTCCCTACATCTTTGTTTTCAACCAATGAACAGTGTTGCGTCTATGTGTTATCAGAAATGATCCAATATCACCTTTAGCCAAAATTCAGAAATGCTTTAAATCATTTTTCAAACTTTAATTGTCTGAACAAACCATTTTGTACTAAATGCAGCGTCCATTAAAAGCTGCAGTTCTCTTTCTAGCACCAGTTTCAACTGTGCATGTGACTGTTTTTAAATGAGAAACGAGCCACGGTTCAGAGGTTGAAAACACTGCTTTAAATATCCGTATTACCAAGATCATGCAGTCAAAATCAATAATTCTAAACTTCTCCGCGTCTATAACTTTAAATAATAATACTAGTTTCAATAATAGAGCTCCTCTACTTTAAATATACTGCTGTTCTAATCTCCTTGTGTCTCATGCTAAAGCAAGAGTCTAATTAATTTTAACGATTGTCCTGTATTCTTTCATGCAGCTAAATGTAGTGTTATGAACGAATGACCTAAATGTGTAAATATGACTTAAATTCCACATGTCTCTGTGCGTTTGTTGCCTGTCTGTATATTTACCTTCTGTGTGTCTCATTTAGGCCAGCCACGTCTCAAATGTCCGTTAATGTCTTTCTTTTACTCATGGCGTCTTTCAATGTCTTTTGTCTCAAAGTGTCCAATGTCTTTGTCTCAATGTCTTTTTTCTTCTTCTTTAAACAATCACTTTCTTTCTTCTTCTTTCAATAATCACTTTCTTTCTTCTTCTTTCAATCACTTTCTTCTCCTTGCAATGTCTTTTTCTTTTCAATCATTTTCTTCTTCTTTCGACAACTTTTCTCATGTCTTTCTTTGTCTCATTTTTTGACGCACACCAGTGTGTGTCCTTCTTCTTCTTGTTAGGTTTACACAACGTTCTTCTCCGTGCACATAACTCCACTCGGTTTGTGCAAAAGTCTGGTTTTTCTCCATGAAATGGAGGCCGGAGAGGTCTTCTTCGAGAGTTCCTGTTAGCTGCTGCAGCCGATGCTGCTGTCTTTGGTGCCCCCTGTGGGTCTGGGGGAGACGCTGATGGTCCGTGCTGATGGCGCCCGATTGTGGTTTGTGGCAGAGACGATTTTTGGCCAAATGAAACAGACAGAAGTTTTCTCGGAAAAAACAGACAAACAAGAAGCACAAACAAGTGTGTTAATTACCATACGAAACCAATGATTAATTACAATTCAAAATAAACCTATGAAATAATTAATATTAACATTTTAAACATTAAATTCTGAAAACCAAATCTGCATTCAACTGCTATCCTAAGCCCTATTTTTCCAAAAGTATAATGCTCTCTAAGATCATTCTAACTTTTATATCACCAAAATGTAGGGAAAAAAACTTGTCTAGACGCCTTGGAGATAAAAAATAAAAAATAAAATAATGCCTCTTTATAATCTAACTCAAAGTTCTGTGATCCTATGACTCCATGTCAGTAACATTATCGTGTGTATAAATGTAATTTTCTACAAAAAAATTCTTTCATCACGAGAGAGAGAGAGACAGAGAGAGAGAGAGAGAGAGAGAGAGGAAGGGGAGAGAGAGAGAGGACAGAACGAGGGAGGGGAGGGGCCTCCCGAACAAAGGAAGCATGGAGTCTGAAATACTTTCCTCGTTTTTCTCGTGACAAGGTTTTAAATCATTGGTAAAAGTTTTTCTCACGTCAAACGACACTTTACATTTTATCCTTAAATACGTCAGTAATGGAAAACATTACTATTTGCTTACATGACTAATAGTCCCAGCAGAATCTCTTTTTTTTTTTTTGATTCTCTGTAACTATTAAACATTACATCAGAATAAGAGAAAAACTTCCATAACTGATCATTTCTTCACATGAAACTCGTATACTACAGCCAAGAGGCTCTCTTTTTTCTCATTAATCAGATCATTATTATCAGAATCCACATTTTAAATACTTGGCTTTTTTCCTGTTTAAATTAATTGTACCCTTTTTTTTTTCCGCCCCCGGGGGATATAGAAGGTTTTATTATCCTATCACTTCTGACCCTAACTGTCCCTATTTTCTAATCCTATTTATCTAAACACTTGTGCCTCTTTTGCACTTTAAAACGGTGTGCCTCTTCTGCACTCTAAACGGTGTGCCTCTTTTGCACTCTAAACCCTGTGGCTTTCCTGTATATTCTTTTTTTTGAGGGGACCAATGCTTCCCTCAAGGTTCAAAAACGTCGAAAAACCTGACTATTGTTCTATCGCTTCCGATAGAACGCCCGTCACGGCGGTCGTCTGACCACGCTGCAGTCCGCCGAGCCGAATTCTCTCTCTCTCTTCCATTTAAAACAATGTGCAGATTTTCAAAAGTAACGATCCGCTTACCTCTTTCGAAGAGAAGGGAGAAGAGAGAATTCTCCCGGCCGACAGACCCAGTCTATATCTGAGCTCATCTTGCGTCTTCTTTCTGTATCAAATCACGTCTCGGGTCACCAAATGAAGCCAATAATTCCCTTTGGCTAACGTGTCCACAATTTGGTACAGAAATCAGACTAAAGATTCTCCAAGTTTAACATCTGCATTTAATTATCTTTACAATCAGATACAGAATATTCAACAAAAGAGCTCCTATTCTATGCCTGCTCTATCCCTGTGCGTTGCCCCTGTCCTGTCTGACCTCAAAACCCTCCGAGGGCACATATACGGGAGACTTCCGATGACGTCATCCATACGCGTCCAAGGGTGGGGCTTTCCGGGTGTGCTGACGTCCCTTGTCCACTGGGAGGCGTTAGAATGCTGTTGGTAAATTCCCTTTCCGCCTGATGGTGAGGGACTTTTGCTCTGTCAGCAGATAATGTTTATTATCGAACGTTAATAATTCGCCTTGTTCAAAGGCGATATCTTTTTATAATTCCCGTCTGCTTATCCTGTGTCCTTGTGACTTAATCCCTGAGGGCACAGGTCTTTTTGCTTGGGAAAGAGACAAGAGTTCAATTCCGGGTCAATCAAATTCACATCTGCCTTTAGTCTATATTTAAAATATACTCACAGGACTGAGACAGGAGCTTTTAGACAGAAGTGGCGGAGCTGTACATGTTTGAGTGTCTTGCTCATGGGCTGGTCCTCTTACCTTGGGGGCAGCGCTGCTATGGTCCCAGAGAAGGATGCGCTCCTCCCAGGCAGAGCCTGAGCCCCGCCCCAGGACCCAGGGTAGCCCATGGTCCGGTCGTCCCACAGAACATCACAGGGGCCACAGGGGCCGAGCTCAGGGGCCGGTCTCCGCTGCAGCTGCTGTGACAGAAGCATCTCCATGACCTGCGGGTGCATGTTCTCCTGGGCCGCCTCCACCGCCTGGCGCCCCCTTCTGTCCCGGAGGTCGGGGTTCGCCCCGTGGAGGAGGAGTAGGCGGGCTGTGTCGTAGCAGCCGTGGAGGGCAGACAAGAACAGAGCGGTCTCACCCTGAAGTGAGAGAGGGAGAGGAGTGAGGAGAGAGAGATGTGAAGAAGGGAGAGGTGTGAGGGGGTAAGGAGTGAGAGGGATGTGAGAGAAGAGAAAGAGAGAGAGAGGTGAGAGAGGGAGAAGAATGAAGGGGGAGAATGGTGAGAGAGGGAGAAGAATGAAGGGGGAGAATGGTGAGAGAGGGAGAGGTGTGAATGAGGGAGGGGTGTGAGAAAGATAGAGGTGAGCAAGAAAGAGGTGTGAGAGAGAGAAAGAGAGAGAGAGGGGAGGGCGAAATGTCTGTGAGGGGGGAGGTTTGAGAGAGTTACCTTGTTGTCCTGCAAATCCACTGTGGCGCCGTAGCGGATCAGAGTCCTGGCCAATGACAGGTGGTTTACGGAGCATGCCCAGTGCAGAGCGGACCGCCCTGAGAGACAGCGAGTGTGAGAGCGGACGGGACACAGGGGAAGGAGGGGAGAAGGAGGGGGAGATCAACCACAGGAGGCCACACATGGACACGCAGGCCTGTCATCATTGTGTACTATATACTTTTATAGTGCTTCTTAGTGCTTCTTTAACAATAATAGTGCATTAGTTTCATACGAAGGTTTTCTGGACGCTCAAAGATGCTTCACAGCATCAGTCACTCTATACACTGTGGTGGTAAACTACTGCTGTAGGCACAGCTGCCCTGGGGCACACTGACAGAAGTGAGGCAACCACTCCACACACACCAAACTCATTCTGAGCATGTCTTGCCTAAGGACACAACAACAGTTTGGCACTTTACAGCCGCACCCTCCCCACAGTGGCACCTGGTGTTTCCAGAGGTCTCCCATCAAAGCACTAACCAGACCCTGCTCTGCTAAGCTCCCAGGATCAGAGAAAGACGAAATAGTAATTCAAATGTCAGCTCTGTTGGCTCATGGTTGTGTGTCACAGGAAGTACAAGAAACAAAGGCGTTATTCACCAGTGAAGAAAAGTTCACAAAAACGGAAGGAATATATAAATAAATCGGATCATTTACTGTAGAAGTTCTCTGTGTCTGACTGTGGTGTGTTAGATCGTAAGTTAGCTCGTTTAAGTCAGCGTGGCGGTGATGCAAAATGGGGGACTTCCTGTTTTAGGCTTCTCTCAGATATATCACTGGTGCAAATCTCATGTGTCTGCTTCAAAACAGGCACCCCTCCCCCCCAAAGGAAGCCACCTCTAGGGGGCGCTGTCAGGTCAGGGGGCGTTTGTTTACTCTCCTAATGTTACTGAAGCGATAACACAGCACAAATAAAGGTGAAAAAAGAATATGCTCAACAAGTTGTTCTGTGTGTCATTGTAAATATGGCCATCATGATGACAGGTCGAGAGGTTATGGAGAAGAGGGAGAGAGGGGAGGGAGGGGAGAGCTTAGGAGGGGTCAGAGTCAGGGGACGGCAGCAGAGGAGCTGCAGGACACAAGGGAAATGTGGAGAGACAGACACAGAGACAGAAGGAGGCCAGAGACAGGGGTCAGTGGACTGGGGTCAGACCTGAGCTGCTGTGACCTGGGACATGAGTCACAGAGACTTCAAATAGAAAATATCAGATCATTGCAACATTAAAGAGGACATGAGACCCTTGTGTCTGCTCGGTTCATCAATGACATTTGTAACTCTTTATTATTATTATTATTATCATCATCATATTTAATAGTTAGAGAAATTAAAGCTGCAAGCGGCATCAAATGCAACCCTCAAACTCTATCATGTATGGGCGTGTGTTTGTGCATGTAAATGTATGTGTGCTTGTGTGTCTTAGCAGTGTGGCCTTCACCTGTGTGGTCCGTGTTGTTGACCGGGACCCCAGCCCTCAGCAGCTCCAGTACGACTCGGTCCAGGCCACTCCGGACCGCACGGATCAGGACAACAGACCCGTCCGGACCACACCACTCTGCCGACTACACACACACACACGCACACCCACACCCACACCCACACCCACACCCACACACACACACACACACACACACACACACACACACACACACACACACACACACACACACACACACACACACACACACACACACACAAAATGACCAAAAGTTTGGATACACCTTCTCATTCAAAGAGTTTTCTATTTTCATGATTATGAAATGTGTAGATTCACACTGAAGGCATCAAAACTATGAATTCACTCATGTGGAATTACGTACATTATGATCAACAAGTTGGCGCCGCGTATGGTCGCCACGGCTCTTTGGTGCTCTCTGTTTTTTTACTTTGTATCGTTTAATAGTGTCTCTGCCTGCTCCTACACCCGTGAGGATCAGGACTGCCCTCAGGAAGGAGACCAGAACCTCCCGCCATAAGAACAGTTTCTTCCCCTCTGCTGTTGGACTCATGAACACTTCATAAACCATCACTGACCTCTGACCTCTGCCCTTATGACTGTCACTTTATGCTACTGTCACTTTACTGCACTCTACCGCACTCTTAACAGTCTATTGTGTGCACCTAGTGCACTTGTATATAGTAAACTGAAGAAATTATATATTTTTTTATTCATGCATGCCTTCTTGTTTTTATTCTGCTTTCCCTTGTTTGCACCGAGGGCCAAAGCAATTTCCTAGTTTTTGGTTTTAGTTTTTTTCCTAGGGGTTCCTGTTACTCACATGGCAATAAAAGGATTCTGATTCTGAAACAACTGAAAATATGTCTTATTCTAGGCTCCTCAAAGTAGCACCCTTAGCTCTGATTGGTCTGTACTGAATATGCACATTATCCCTGATAATATCAGCTCTAACAAGTATGTTCTTACGTGCTGAGGAGGGCTGAGGAGAGGAGGTGGCATTGCGTTTCTGTCCCAGCCTCTAGGAGGAGCTGAAACACAACACAAGTAAGTCAGATAAATGAAATGTAAAACAACACTTGGAAGACTCTGCTCTGAAAGTTCTTCAAATGTTAAAAATCCAACTACACAGTGTTAAAGGGACAGTGTGTAATATTCTATTTGAAATGGCACAACACATATATGTGTCACCAGAGAACAGGTCACATGCACACATGTCTGAACAACAGCTTCAACTGGTTAATCTTGGTTAAAATACACTGCTGGTTTTGGGTCCTTTTTCTTTTTTTCGTCCATCTGTATGAATTAGCGAACAATGCTACCCACTAGCTCAATGAAGTCCAAAAGGGAAGTGCTCCAACTCTCTCTGGCTCCTATTCTTGCATGTAAAAGTAAACTCCTCTAGCTCAGTAACCGTCACACTCAACATTTTGGGCTTCCATGGTTAAACACTTTCTATGATCCTGGTTTTTATATTTTCTTTGTGAATCCAGATATGAGCCATATAAGTATTGACCAATCAGATGCCTTCCTTTGCTTGGGAAACATGCCATAGCAACCACCTTAGCAACACTTCTGCCTGTTACAGCACGCAGCTAACGCAGTCGGCATAAATGTCCATGTAAGTAAATTGGCTCCATGTTCAAAGTTTCTTCTGCATTAGGTCTAACACTAGAAACACTTGATCAGTCCACTCCTAACAAACGGTCCATGGATAAACCTAATGAGTGAGTCCAGCTCTGACCCTGGGTGCTGGTCCGGCCTGGCCCTGGCCCCCTGTAGGCCCTCTCTGCTGGGCTGCGGTGCTCGTACACAAAGGCCTCGTGTCGTTTGGAGCAGCGGCTGACGTCCTCCATCGAGCTCTGCGTCACGTCGGTGTCACTGCCGATGTCCAGCTCCCTCCTCAGCGGCCTGCGCACAAACCAGACGCATCATGTGGCCTTTACATTCACCAACGAGGGCAGAGTTCATTATTGAGAAGATTCAGGTGGATAATTGTAATATCAATATTTTTCAATATAAATATTAATTATACATTTTATTTATAATAGCGCCTTTCTGGGCACTCAAGGTTGGGTTACAAAAGATACAAAGATTAAAGTAAAAAACAGTTAAAAGCATACAGTTAATTTGTTTTTACCATGGACATGTTGTTTATGGGGTTGTATCTCTCCACAATGACATTAATCATTTATATGTCATAACTATGTTTTATTTACATGGTCAGTCATAGAGCTCTGTGTTGTGTGTCTCAACCGAGAGAAAAACCGTATGTGAACAAATCAGAGCACAACATGCTGTGTTTTTATGAGATATGATCTTTTGTATTCTTGTAAGAAAGCCCTGTGAGTCACTATTTGGCTCTCTGAGGTGAAAGCTGATTGGCTCAGTGAAGGTAGTCTTCTCTTTTCCTCTTTTCTCTTTAAAAAAGTGGCCAACAGAGGCCAAAAATACATGATTTTAAAAACTATTGATGAGGAACCTCAGCTTTTACAAACTGAGAGATGCACTGACCTCATGCGCATGGCGTCCTCCCCCAGTGGCTCGCGCCTCCTCCTCTTCTCTGCCTCCTTGTTCTTCTTCTTTTTACGCAGACCCAGCTTGTCCCGGTCCCTGTCTCTGCTGGTCTGGACCCTGGTCTCAGGAACGGAGCCTTTGGACTTGTTAGACCGGGAGCCGATCATGGCGAGGGTGCGGCTGCTGTGGGTGCTGCCCGCGGGTGTGTGTGTGTGCGCGCCCCTCCTCACCCTCCTCATCACCAGCAGCACAGCCACACACAGCACCAGCAGCACCGCCAGCGCCACGGCAACCACAGCCCACATCCAGGATGCCAAGGGGGCTGTAGAGACCCACACGTTAAAGAAGACATATTACCCATTAGTCTTGTCCATTAAAAACTATAATGAGAGTATCAACCATGTCAGTATATTACCATTTAAGAACTTTATCAACATTTATGGTCGTTGGGCATCTGCCCCTTATGGACCAATGGCTCTTACGTGTTTTTCATCAATGCATTTCTTGTGTCTGAACTTTGATTCTCTGATCTGTGTCTTTGTAAAGTCCTCCGAGATAATTGTGATAAAGGGAAATACAAAAATATATGGATTTAAATTTAATTGAATTTAATAATGAGAGATGTGGAATATCATTTGGAATAATATATTCAGTAGAAAATATAAAGTAAACCAAATCTGCACTCATAACTCTGTAACTGTACTGTAAGCCTGTAACTCCCTATGCTGCCACCAGAGGTTGGAGTATGATTTGTTTTGCTTTTTTTGAAATTCTAAATTTACTGGCAGCAAACACAGACATGTGATTGTAAAAAGCTTAACTGCTCTGAGTGTGATGTCATCGAGCCAACTCGCTCTGGCTCCTATTGATTTGTAAACGTAAACTCCTTTATCTTTGTAACCGTTTGTGTCACACTCACCATTTTGCATTTAAAAAACCTGTGGTTTGGCACTTTCTATGATCCTGGAGTTTATAGTGTGATATTGTGTTTGTAAATCCAGATATGAGCCATGGTTATAATCTTGGATGTTTACATTCATGTTTACAATATATCTGTTTTTCTTTCTTTAGCAACCATGTTAGCAACATGTCTGTCGCTGTTACGGCACAAAGCTAATGTTGCAGAACAAATGCCCACATAAGAAAATTGGCTGCAGCGAGCTTATGGTCAAATCCGCCTCTTCTGGATTAAGGTTTGGTGATGTCAAACTTGGTCTGTCCTTTACTAATATAACGTAAATTAGTAATAATATATTTTTTACTGCTGGTGTGGAGTCAGTCTGGTACCTCTGGCCTCCACGCTGACGTTCTGCTCTTCCTGCTCCCTGCTCCCCAGCTCCTCCCTGACCCCGCGCAGGCTGAGGACGGCCTGCAGCTCAGGCAGGGCAGCTGTGACCGCAGGCCGCAGCTGGAGCATTGCGCGCACAAACGCTGCGGCTTCTGTGCTGTACGGGAAACATGTGGAGGGCAGCGCCAAGCAGGGACGGTTATCCAGCTGCAGGGCCAGGAGAGAGCTACACACAGATACACACACACAGATACACACACAAAGACACAGAGACACACACACAGATACACACACACAAAGACACAGAGACACACACACAGAGATACAAACACACAAAGACACAGAGACACACACAGAGATACAGAGACAGAGACACACGCAGACACACATACACAGAGACACACATATACACTCACAGAGACACGAGAGATACACACATAGATACACACAGACAGACACACACATGTGATTAAATGATTATTTTAATACAACAAGAATGATTTTAACAATAATAATGAATCAGTTTTATACAGCACTTTTTCTGGAGATAAACTACTGTAGCCACAGTGTTCCTGGGGCAGACTGACAGAAGCGAGCCTACCAATCTCTGCTGCCAAGCATTCACACACACACACCAGACTAATTCTAATGTGGGTGAAGTGCCTTGCCCAACGACACAACAACAGTGGGGGTCCCACTGTGGTACCTGGTATTCCCAGAGGTCCATTCATATGTTTTTGTTGTTGCCGTAAATCAGTCTACTCTAAGGACTTGATAAAGTCGTTCATTTCTCAACAACAGATCAGAGAATCAAACAGATTGAAGACAGGAAATTAAATAATAATGAACACAGAAATTGGTCTCCCATCACAGTACTAACCAGGCACTGCCCTGCTTACCTTCTGATATCTGACTGGCTTACTTCAATATGATCTTTTTGGAATGTTTAGTCCTGTTTCCACCAGCTCTACTCAGCTCTACTCTCCCCAGATTAAGAGCTGGTACTAATGTGTTCTAACACACTAACATTGGTCAGAGTGCTGCTGAAAGCCATGGTTACCAAGCAATGTCTATGGATTCTGATTTGTTTTGGGTAAGTTTCTAGGACAGTGTAGTAAATAATAAAGAGTAAAGTCGAGCTTAGTAGTGAAGAGTTGTTGATAATAGAGTAGATTGTTACACTGTTACCCGCTGGCGTCCGCAGCCGCAGCCTGGGTCAGCATCTCCTCCAGCTGGCCTGGCCCATACTGGAACAGGTCCCTGGAGGGGCCAAAGGGAGCCGCGGCCCTCAGCTTCAGAGGAGACATGAGGACCACGCTGAGGGCCCAGAGCACAGAGGAGTTGGGGAAGACGCCCTGGACTAGAGGGAGCCGTGTGTGCACCAGGAGAGTCCCTTTGGCCCACTGGGACGTCTGCTGGGGCACGCAGTCGCCCCCGTCCCACCCACAGGAGGCGCTGTTGCAGCCGTGGTCGCAGTGGGAATTGCCGTAGTGGTTACGGCAGTACTGGATGTGGCCTGGACTGAGGAGACAGGAGAGGGGGATGTGAAAGAGATTTGGGCTAAAACAATGTTGGGTTGAAAAGAAAGAATATGCACAGAGAGACCATATAGAGAGACACAAGTAAGAGACCAGAGAGAGAGACCAGAGAGAAAGACACCAGAGAGAGAGAAACCGGAGAGAGAGACCAGAAAGAAAGACACCAGAGAGAGAGAGAACAGAGAGACTACAGAGAGACCAGAGAGAGACCAGAGAGAAAGACACCAGCGAGAGGCAAGAGAGAGAGACCAGAGAGAGGCCAGAGAGAGGCCAGAGAGAGACCAGAGAGAGATCAGAGAGAGACCAGAGAGAGGCCAGAGAGAGGCCAGAGAGAGACCAGAGAGAGATCAGAGAGAGACCAGAGAGAAAGACACCAGCGAGAGACCAGAGAGAGAGACCAGAGAGAGACCACCCATATGGACAAGATGTACAAATAAAGGTTATAAAGGTTATAAAGGTTTTATAAGACCTGCTTGAAATGTATAAATGGCACATATGACCGTCAAACAACATTCAAATTCCATGGAAAGTTTGTATACTCCAAATTATACATGGAAACATTTTATAAAAAGAATGTAAGATCTGTTTGAATATATATCATAGATGATGATTTGACAGTCAAATCCAACACAAAGTTCATAGTAAAATTTTATTTGTCAAATTGTACATTGAAAAGCATGTAGAAAAAAATATTTAGAAAAATTGTGTAAGGTTTGTTTGCATTTTACAACTAAACATAAGTAAAAATCCAGGCCTATTGTCTGTATAAGAATGGAAACTAAAGTATGTGATGGTAAAATGTAAAGGAGCACAGTTGGTGGAGCATTGGCCTTTAAACCAGAAGGTCGTGGGTTCTGCTGTCCTTGTGTCCATGGGCAAGACACTTAACCCCACTTTGCCTGAAGCTCCCACTGAAAGAATAAGGCTCAGCGATCAGCTCTGACTGCCACCACCCCGACCCTGATACGAAAGATAGGAAATGTACTTGTGGTACTGCAAATACTGCAAAAGGTAGTACCAAAAGTAATGTGATGACTCATCATGATGAAGATCATACACGTGAAAGAACTGCCATTACACACTTATTACACACTTTTACACACTTATTACTCTTTTATGTATGATACATAAAAAATACAAGCTTTATCCATGTATGTATGACACACAGGTTTTATATGGCCTATATTTTGTAAATTATATAAAAGCAATTTGTATATCAACAACATTAAACACTCTTCATTGCCATCTATGAAAGATGTGCAAAAGGTGCCACTTTCAGGAGATAATCACACAAACATCATACAAAAGTCATATAAAATGTAATGTGACAATTTTATATATTTTATGTGGAACTTTTCCATATGGGCAGAGAGTGGGGCCACTAACGCATCCCGCTCAAAGCAGTTTTCCACCTTTTAAAATAAAAAATTATTGCCTGTAAAGTAGTTTTGGTCATTTCTCAGGGGAAACTCTGGTGGCAGAATAGTTACAGACAGAAAGCATTTTATGTTGGGTCTGTTTTTGAGCCACTCATGTACTGGTCTGACACAGAGGTGTGAGGCTCACTTGCAGACGGGACGGTCCTGCACACAGTCGAACCCGTCCCGCAGACACTCTGGCTCTCTGCACTCTCGATCACACACACCGTCCCCAAACTTGTCCTTACACTTCCTGCTGACCGGACACTGGCCCCAGGGGTCACTGGAGACCGCTGTGGGGAGAGGAAGCACACATATGGCAAAGGAGAGGTTAATGACAGCAGCCGAGTGAAGTCTCATGAAGTTCAAATTCAAAATATCGAGTTGGAACAAATTACAAATGCGGTTTTCTTCATATTGAGAGGGCCTTTTATGGGAGGGATGGTCATAAGAATTTGTGTTAAGATTGGTCCTTAAAGCTGGAGTATGTCACTTTCAGACCACACCAAAAGACAAAAAAATCCATGTCTCTCAATCCTGGCTCCATAACAGTTTTCTCTATGTCACATCTTTATAAATGCATTGGTTCTAACTCAAACATGCTTCACAGGTTAATCATTCGCTCTGTACATGGTGGTGATAAACTACTACTGTAGCAGTATAAGCCCTCGGCCTTTCCGACCAGCACCAGCCATTCACACACACACACTAGGCTCATTTTAATGCAGGTGGTGTCTCTTGCCAAAACACATAACAACAGTTTGACTTATTATTTAGCTGCCCCCATTGTGGCATCTGGTTTTCCCAGAATCTCCCATCACAGAACTACCCAGGCTCTCTCATTCTTAGCTTCAGAGGTCTGGCAGGATCTAACTTTCGCCTGCAGGTGTGGCCACGTCTTCAGATGAGACAGAAAAGTGAACAAGACAGGACACTCAGACTCACACACCCTCACTTTTGAGCACATTTTGAGTCGAACAGTGACTCACCGGACTCTTCTTTACAAGTTTGCAAAATATGTTGTGGTCTGATTTGTTCATACATTTCCATTTTTATAAGAATCGTCCAGTAGGAACAAACTAAATATAGTATCCATCTTGTATGTGTCTTCATATAACAGGTCACATGCTCATATAATTGTCTCGCTTCTGTCAGTGTGCCCCAGGGCAACTGTGGCTACAATAGCAGTTATCACCACCATGTATGGAGTGAATGCTGTGGAGCGTCTTTGAGCGTCCGAAACAGCAATAAAATAAAACCAATACATTTGAATCTCATTTGGGTTGCCAGTTTGTCCGGTGAAATCTAACTGGTTTTGGCTCTATATTCTATGACAAAATTCACAAATATAAATAGCATCACACAGTTGATTATATGAAGCAGATACAAAAATAAGTGTCACAGATAACACACGGATTTATAAATACCCCAGTAGGTGGATTGCATCAGTAATCAATGCTTGGGAGCTACATGTGTCAGGTAGATTCTAGAACAACAGTGCGATTGTAAGACCACGATTTATTAGACCACTAAAACCTGATCACATCCCTTTAAAAAATTAAAATTTATAAACAGACCAAAAAGTTATCATCTTCGACCCAGTCCCAATACCCACACTGCACCCTACACACCTCTACAAAGTGTGCATTTGTTTGAAGTGCACACCAGGGTTGGAGTGCGCAGGTTGCAAGCGTGCACAAAAGGCAGAATTGGGACAGTGCACACTGAGTGCAGGTGACGTCATCGACTCGTCAGAGATGGTCATTTTCAGACCTAAACTTTATAAACATTAAAGGTAATTTTGTCTGACCCTTTGGGAAACAAAATGAATTGCTTCACACACGTTAAAATACATGTATATTAGTTGTTTTTAATTAGAGATAGCTGTATAATTTTAAGTTAAATGTGGGTAACTAACTATCTGGTCAGTTTTTATACATTCTAAGATTATTGTACTAAGTGTAAAGTTTAAATTGAATGTTATAAAAACGCTTGTTTTAAAAAGTTATTAAATTGTTAAAACACAATGTCCGTAATTCTTCATCAGACGTTTGCTTCTTTCCAAGTAACATAGCAAAACTTATTTACACACATACAGCATATATATTTAAAAATGTATATTTAAATGCATTTTCCCGACGTTTTGGTGTGTACCGCAAAGAATTATGGGCAATATCCTTCGCCAGAGTGCGCATAGATGTAGGCTACGGCGAAGTGTGGATCAGGGGCGCAAAGGGGGCGGGGCCAAAGACCTCCCTGGAGAATTGGGACACCCTACGCACTCGCACACTTTATCGGGAACGCGCAAATGAGGGGCGCGAGGTGGAAGTGCGAGTATTGGGACGGGGCTGCATCGGTTCTATATAGCACTGACCACCACCAGCCATTCACACACACACACACACACACACACATACACGTTTTTGTTACCTGGTGGGTCCCTTTGACAGGGCCGTTCAGAATGGGACCCATAGACATAATCTTTTTTTACTGGGACTACTTTAAGTAATACAAAACAGTCAATAGAAACCAAACAACTATTTTAAAGGAATTTTATTTTAGATTTTTTTTTCGAATTGCAGTGATTCTATTTTTGACATAGAATTTAATGCCACTCCATGTCCGATGTCTAAGGTCATCTGGTGAGGCATTAATGCAGGCCAGGCAGTGAGACTTCCCAGGGACCTTTCCAGTCTGTATGAAAGGTGTCATGGTCTTCTCCACAGCCTTCACCTCAGATGCAGACCATGGCTTTCTTACACGTTCTAAGGAGAGAAATAAAAATATATTAGCAATATACACTCCCAGGGTTAGGACCAAGCAGCCTGGCTGTAATCCCCCACCTGGTACACTTACCAGAAGGGGCACTGCCACTACCATGGGGTGCATCTGGATGAATGGTTGAAGGTTCTCCGCTTGAAGTTTCTTTTAGCCCGTCCGTTTGTGAGAGGATCTCTACTGCTCTCCCTGTCGCACAGAAAATAAAAATACAAGTGGCCTTTAGGGGAAAAAAATCATACATATTTTAATAATATCAAGAATTACCTTCAGGCTCAATTTGTATCTGGTCGAGGCTCTTTCCTTCGAATTCCGTCACTCTTCCCTGCTCCATGGCCATCAACACTTTGCTGATTTTGGCCAGCTCCAGTGTCCCCTCTGGTAGTCTGTAATATTGTCTGTGGATGCGAATGTCATGGCCGAGGAAGTTGGCTAGTATGTCCATTTCCTTCTCTTTCATATTGAGAACTGTAGACATAGTAGCTATGTGCTTTCTAAGTTTGGTTGAGGATAGCATCTCTGGATGCACCGCACCACATTCTTTGGCTACCTGCCGTAGGGAGTCTGATCCCCTGATGTGGGTGTCTGCGCCCGGGCGGGAAAAGAAGTATGGGTTATGGTCAGAGATGGAACAGGCCCTTCTGTTCTCCACCAGCACCTCCATCGAAGCAATCATTTCAGGAGTCAAAAGAACCGGCACTTTCCGACTTCTTTTCCCTTTAATTTCAATGCGTTGAAAATGCTGACACAGCTTTTTCTCAAGTTGGGACAGTCCCAGAGCAATGTCAGAATGGATCCCAGTCTTACTTCTTAAGGTAAAGGCTGTCAGTGGCATCTTTGAAACCTCACCTTCCCTTCTTCGATTGAAAATAATGACCTCACAAAGAGTCAAAACTGCCAGTTTAGACCAATGCTTAGACGTTGGCTCACTTATTAGGGTTTGCACATATTCAGGTTGACATACCTCAATATGTGCATGCATGGCTCTAACGTCCTCAGTCAGAGGGAGCAGGTCCGGAGTGTTCCACTTGGCTTGCCGGAGGGTCTGTAGGGCAGCAGAAGAAACACAGACGTCCCACCTCTTCTCAAAAAGCAGCCGGCTTCGTTGGAGGTTTTTAATAAATAGTTCATCAACACAATGCTCCATTTTTGAGTCACATTCAAGAATATCTGCTAGCTTTCTGAGGCTATGGCCGAGTTTGAGGGCCAAGGATGGAGTCTTGTATTGATTTGTTTCCTCATCATATCCAGCCACAGACCTGACTGCATCAATCACATGGTTAAAGTTGGAAGGAATAAAGAAATCCTTAATTGTTTTCAGTTTCCCTGCAGTTTTTGCTTCGTTAATTAACCTACCGACTTCTCTCATTTTCTGCCTAATGTAATCATGCTTAGTCTTATCATGCCCGTGTTTTAAGTACAGGTGCTCTCCGAGTCTCAGAATCCTCTTTTCTGCTTTGACAACACCCGTGACCTCATCCTGATGCATTGCCCAAATTAAAGACCACAGCTTTTTGCTGATGTCCTCCGGTACAGGCTGGGCTAGGGAGCAGAGGGACTGGACCCTACTTCTACCTGGTTTAGCCTGGTTTAGCCTGGGCATCTTTCTGTGAAAGCCGGCACCTGGCCACATGCCTCCACAGCGACTTTCGCTTAAGCAATGCCCCACAGTCTATACAGTGCAAAAACTCACTGGATTTAACTGGGCAATTTGGCTGTTTAGCTGGGACTAAAGTTCCAATGCCGGCCTTTAAAACCTCAAAATTGTGCTCACGGTTTCCACTATTCCTGATCAAATCAAACTGAAGTTTACGTGCTTTAGATTTCACAGGTAGAGCCAATGCTCTGGCTACGTCACTTTCATTTCCATGTTTTCTAGTCAAATGACGGGACATTTTGTGGCAGGACATTGAACAGTAGAGGCAGAAGTGTCTCTTGCTGTAAACTCGCCCCCCATTTTTCTTCTTTTGCAGCTGCATGATAACAATCTTATTTGCCTTTGGTTCGTCACTTTCCGAGTCTTGAAGAAAAGTGTTTTTGATTTTTCTTTTTCCATACTTTTTTACAGGTTTCTTCTTGACAGTTAAATCGTCAGAATCTGAGTCGACTTCATCAATTAGGGACTCTTGACTAAGCTGCACAAACAACAAATAATTTGTAATCATTCTATATAACAATTTGAAGTCATGACTTGTAGTCAGCACTTACCAGTGGTTTGTAAGCGTGCGCTTCAGTGTGCTGCTCTGTGATTGGCTGCAGCCTAATGAACCACACACTTGCACCTTTTCTAGCCTGACACCTGATTTCCTCTGTTGTGCTGCTCCATGATTGGCTCCAGCCTCTGTTGTGCTGCTCCATGATTGGCTCCAGCCTCTGTTGTGCTGCTCCATGATTGGCTCCAGCCTCTGTTGTGCTGCTCCATGATTGGCTCCAGCCTCTGTTGTGCTGCTCCATGATTGGCTCCAGCCTGCTGGACTGAAATTGCCCCAGTGTGCCCCTCCCTGATATCCCGCAA